CTGCTTGTCATATTCGACCCCCTCCACAGTGCTCATCTTACATTTTTCTCCACCGTTGTGTCTGTCTGCCTCCTTTGCATCTGTGAATCGTTCTTCTGTTCCCCGCCCCTCGACTTTCTGCTACTTTGATGAACCTTCCCTCTGTGAAGCCCGAAGTCAGCTAAATGGTTAATGATAGCTATCAAAACGCCTGCCATTTGAAATAAATAAATCCTATCAAAACGCATACCATTTGATGCAAATAAATAAATATTCCATAATTATTGAGAGGGGGGGGGGGTACGGAAACAGATAGAGGAATATAGGAGAGGAGGAATCGATAATGGCCTAGGCAACGCATTTTTCCGAAGTCCAACTCTCAGCTTCTAATCCCAACGTTTGCACTTCATGCCCCTTATTAATAGAAATTCCAAGTGTGTATCAGAATTGGCATTCAACCCCTATTCGCAATGCCACTCGCCTCCCTCCTCCCACACAGAAACATGTTATTGTTACGAATTTCGCAGTTCTTGATATAGGTGTAAAAATTTGAGAAGGTTTATTGGTTCAACAGTAAGACAGTCACACACCGATAACCAAAACTCTCTTCACATTCTTAAAATATTTATTTAAATAGAGAAAAGGATTGAAACGAATCCACCTATTGGTAATGCATATTTAGAAGAGAAAAAAGCAAACAGAAGAGGGGCTCAAAATACCAATCACTCAAACAAACACACGTGGTAGGAGACAGGGAGAGGACAAGATCATCTCACAAAGACCATCAAGAACAGAATCGAAGGGAAGGAGAGAGTAGGGGGGGGGGCGGGGGAGGGGCGAGACGAATTGAGTCAAGTCAGAACAACAAAGAGACAAATCATCATTCAACGAAAGGAATGAAGCTATAGTGTTTCGGTGCGTGCAGGGCGAGTATTTCCACTTCTATTTACAGCAAATCAGAAAGAGCACACACACACTTCTCAAGGCCGCATTGGTGGATATGGTGACGATTTGAAATTGCAACGTAATGTAAGTGTGTGTGGATCAGTTCTCTGAGGTATGTTTGGTGGCTGAAGGAATTAGCGCCTTGCGTACAAGGGACGTCGGAGCTGGTCCGTAGTATTTCACTGACACGAAATAGCGAATTTCGTGCTAAAAGCAAAAAGGGAGGGGCGAATTAGACAAGAAATGCCAAAATATACACTAAAAGCATGATTTAACGTGAATGTTATACCACTCTGTACTTATAGGAGTGCTTTTGATTACTTGGCAGGATCTCTATCTCCAGAAAGCTGGGATTATACAAAGATTAAAACAAACAGATGGATATGTTTTGACACCAACACGAATTGCGTTCTCCGATTCTACCTTAGTGCTCACCTCTTTACAAAAGGCATGTGACCACATCTTCAGAAGGGCTGGCCGATTTACCCCTCAACGTGTATTCTCCAATTCCTTCAAGTGATTTATGACCTCCCATCTTGTTTAGAAATGAACGAGATAAGCGGGACAGGTAACAGTTCAACCAAATTATTGATCGGCAAAAATATTCGAAAGAATAAGGTGACATTAAATTCAAGATAAATGCGCATAACATTAAGGGATTTTTGTGAGCACAAACTGAAGAGGATGTGAACAGTCACTTATTAAAACCCAAATTCCGAATCCTTAGATTGCAATTCTTGGGGTTAAATAAACTCTTCATTAGTCCAAAAAGGCTAATTAAAATTCATCTGTGTGCTTTGGTCAGAGAACGCAGTAGGAATGCTGCGTTAGCTGAAAGCTCGTGCTAAACCCCAGATCTAAATTGGCTCAATGGTATTCAAGACGTCCAAAAATAGTGAGAAAAAATTAAGAACCCCATAAGTGGAAACAGAGCATTTCTAAAATATAAACTTGGGAGAAAGGATTAGGGTTTGCATGCTCAAACTTTGCAACACTTATCTGTTACTTAAGCACCAACGTCCTCCACTTTACTCCCTCTCTAATAAAGAATCCCTTCGTTCGAGCTATAAAATGAGATACTTCAAAGGACACCCAAACTCCCCCCCCCCCTCCCAGCCCGTTAAGAGTGGAAGTAAATAATATCGATAAACTCCAATTTTGACCTCGTCTTGCAATGACTACAAAATTTGCTTTAAAAAACAAGCAAGAAAAATAGGTCCACGTTTTCCATTCAATCAATGGAATCAAGTTGAGGTAACCAAGCATTTGAGCAATTAACCGTTAAACAATATGTACATATCACAGACATGAGTTAGGCGAGAAAAACACCGATCCAACATAACAAAAAATAGAGTTTTGGAGCAACCCAACGCTCCCAGAATGCAAATTCAGCAATTCAACGTTAGATAGCCCCATTCAAATCGTCCCCCCCCCCCTTATAAAATCCATGTTGAACAAAATGGGAAAAACCTTAAATCGCGAAAAAACGAGTAATTTATTGTTAATCACACATAACGTCTGCATATTTGTTAGAATACGTTAAATTGCATCGTCGCTGCTTGAGGCTAACTTTGAGTATATTAATGAAAATGGGTTTAATCTCTTACCACCATTAAAGCCGGGGATTTATGGCCATTTTATGGGGGGGGGGGGTAATTAGGCCATAAATACGTATTATCAGTCTGGTAATTTGCCAAGCTCTCTATTCAGACACTACTTCATTACTAGCCTACAGAAAAGTGTTTAGAAGTACAATTGGCAATTGATATATACATAAAGTCTTTCAAGCGCCAATGTACTCAATCACTCACACTAGGACAAATTAAACCAACTTCTAAAAGACTAATCTATGCTTAAGATGAATTTTTTTGATATGCCAATCAAATTAATTCCATCTGACTGCAATCCTCTCTGATAGACTTACTTAGTCGAATTAAAGCAAGGGATTATCAGGTGAATAACTAGAAGCTCGCTATGTTGGAAGGAAAACACGAGAAAAACGAAATAAGGTACTCCGAAGCAAAATATGTGTGAGCTGCACTCCTACACAATATTCTGAAGATGCTGTGTAATAACGTAGATTTCACATCCAATTAGAACCGCGACTTGATATAGGTCACTAGTAAATAATTGGTCGAACGGTGACAGAAAAATTGGTAAGCAGAGAATGGAAGAAGTGTAAGTTACGACAGAAGTCAAGGTCAAAAGAGACAGAGTTGGTAATATCGACCTGTAAGCAACAATCGAAATTGTGCTTAATGTACTCGAGTAAAAATGAGAGAATGCCATCATTAAACCACGAAAAAGCACAGAATCGAGGGAGGTTGGGGGAGAAATCAGTAATTATACACTGAACTAACCAGGAAAACTGACTCTAAGGCAGAGAGAGAGAGAGAGAGAAAGGGGGAAGGGAGGTGTATGAACATATATAAGATTAATTACAGGCCATAGGGAAATCCGAATGACGTGGCATCGAAACAGCTCATAAAAATGAAAGTAATCGTAGGGGATTATTCACATACTGTTGCTGTTGTCTAGCCCTATTAGTTTCGCTATTCGAAAACAGGAGATTAGATATCTAAACGTCTAACTCTAAAACTCGCAGACGTTTCACTGAGTCACACACCTGTTCTTTCACAGAAAGTTGGAGACATAAAAGAATAGACCACTACTACGACGAGTCAAATTGGCACTCTCTTTCAACCTTCTAAGTTATAATCACACCAAAGGCAAATTTCGTGTCCATTCGTACTAAGTTATCGCCGTTCAGTTCGATTAATAGCAACTATTAACATTAATTAGCATCGCATAATTGAATAAGAAATCAATTAAACTAAGTTCACTTTTTCAATTAGTTACTCAACACGATGCTCGGAAGAATGGAATGCGACAAGTTATTTACTGCGAGTTCTTCTACACCACCCTCCCCCCAAAAAAAACCCTGAATATTAGTTACTTAATGGACATTGGTCGATTATTTAGTTGAGTATAATTCGAAGGGCATACACAAATTCGGAAGATGCAGCTGGAAGCGTCTCTTATTTAGGGCATGAGAAGAGCCACTGGATACAGCCACACATTGGGAAGCGAATATCTAAGAACCACTTTAAGTTAGTTGGAGTTGAATGTGCAAGTAGGCCTATCAGAGAGGGCCAAGTAACTGCATACAAAAAAGAAAACCAAAATTATTTACTCTAGCATTTTTCCCTATTGACCAAATAGCCTCTTGCAAATGGGGAACTCTGTAGAACATGAAAGAACCAAGTAATTACCTTCCCATAACTGTACGAGTTCCACTGGCGTAAAATCTAAAGAGATTGCCCTTGAAAAATCCAGCCCTTGAGCTAAATGAGCTGAAATTGTGACAAATGTGTAAAGAGCCCTCCCCCCCTCCCCCAAACCCAAAAAAGTGTCAATGTGGGAAAATCGATAAATAAAATACGGACCAAGGAATAGATCATAAGCATGAGAATGTAGCAAATTGAGTTCATTCGGTTGTTGAGCTGCTTTACTAGACATCTACAAACGAGTATTAATCAATTAGAGAGGCTGCTGGGTCTATAACAAGTAGTCCTCGCAACAGCATTATCAAATGTGGTCGCCACAATGGGTGTTGAAAGCTTTAATTAGTTAAAAGAGCTTCTAAGCAGCTGGGTAGTGATTTCGAGCTAGACTTCCCTCAATCTAATTTAAGCAAAATCGGAATTTAGGATTTAGATGGGATTTTTTCTCGAATAATAATTTTGTAAGCGTTTTTTAATGCCCAAAATATTAAAAAGACTATCGAATCAAGATTTAACTCACAGTTTGGGAAATACCTATCAATTGCCATGAAAATCCAATTATAATTTGGCTAATTAAAGAAAAAAATTCAATTAATAAAGTAATCTGCAATTTTGATGGCATTTTTCTATCTTTAAGAACGAATTTTATTAATTTTTTCAAAAAAAAGCATTTCCTTCCACTTTATTTACAAACGCGTGATCCAATGTATGAGATAATTATCGATTTTTGAAGTCACGTTTTCAAATTTATGAAAATATCTCATTTAAGCGCTTCGTAATCTACGGTTAACAATGGGCAATTGTCTCCCTTGTTTTGGAAAGTCTAAAGTGGAGGATCCCAAAGATGGGGTTACTGCATCGGAAACTCAGAGTCTGGAAGATTTATCTTTCAGTCTCCGGTCGTCAACAGAAAAATATGATCGGGAAGAAGAACCAAAGCCAACAAGGCGATTGGAAAAACTGATCATATCTCCAACGTTAATTGACGAAATCAGTACAACACAGAGTGAAGTCGCAGATACAGTCACACTAAGAGCAAATGTTTTGAGAGGAACAGAAGTATTATCTCGACCCAAGTTCATTGTGGAGGATCTGTTCACTACATCCACTTGTACTATGTATGAGATTGAGTCTATTAAGAATGAAGTGGCAGATTCGAACTACGTTGAAATAGAACCTAGCCAAAGCGATACCACGGAAAGGGAAAGGAGATCTCTAGTAATCAGTCGTTGGATCAGAAGGCGACTGGCAACTTATGCGAGAAAGTTCGTCTCATCTCTTAGTGTTGATGATCCGGAATCCTGGACTCAGTAGTGTAAATTGTAAAGTGTTGTAAATAATAATACTTAATATGTTATCAAAACTTCTATCTGTTTATAACCCTATTGGTAATGTTGAATTTCAAATGAGCATCTGGCTTATAAATCCACAAAATGGAATAGAGAAAGCTAGCATTTTTCATAGTAGGGGCAATTTACAAACTCCCTTACTGTAAGATAAGAAGGAGATAGAGTCGAAGACAAATGTGGCCATTTATCTAAGGCGATAATAATAATAAAGTGGTGTGGATGTTAGATAATGATGGTAGAAAATCGATAAACATCTGTTAGGTTGAAAAAAGGTAGAAAAGTGGGTTAAAGCAGTGAGAAATTTAAGAAAATTGTCAAACAGAGGAAGTAGGAAATAAGGACAATACAGCCTCTGTCCGTTAATCACTTAGTCCTGAAATGGAGTGCTCATTATAAACAAGCGATTTTATGCAGGGGACATTCTAACGGCATAGGACAAAAAACTCGGCACGTGAAACGAAAATTGTCACACTCGATAGTGTTTAGTTTTGCCTCGGGGAATAGTTTTCTTTGCACATCTGATCATAATATTCGTGATATCATTGCAAAGTTTGTCAGGAAGTTGGTTGAAGTTGATGG